CCCCGATACGATAACGATAATCCGGCGCCGGACGATTGCGGCGCCGGAGCGCAGGAGTGCGCCGGAGACGAGAAGACGACAGCTTCCCATCTCCGGCGCACCCAATGAGCAAGGAGACTAACCAACGGACGTGAGCCCCGCGCAGACAGCCCCAATGTGTGCGGCGCGGCGTTTTTTTTTTGTTTTTTTTTTGCCCGTTCTGCACTGTCCGGCTGACGGGCTTTCCTTGCCAGCCGCCCCGGCCTCCGCGTTCACGCGCCGGCCCCCGCCGTTAGTCAAAGCAGAAGAATCGATGCATATCCCTGCACCAGCAGGGCGGCGCTTTCCGTATCCCCTCGGGATGGTCCAACCATAGCCACGGATAGGAGGGGCGGGGGCTGCCTGCCTCTCACGGCGCGGAGTTTGCCGAACTATGGATGGTTCCGCTTCTCACGTCTGTCCCCTGTCAGCCCTAGCCTAGAAAGCCGCCTGAGAGGTAGGCAATTTGTTGAGCAAAACCCCTGTAGGTAGGCAACCCGAACCCCATCAATAATGTTATACTCAAACCCAATCAATACCGGTTGCGAATTTAAACGTTTTTACAATAACTGTATTACTCAAGATTCTGTCTAAAGCGTTTTAACCTGTAACCAGTAATAGTTAGTCGGTTGAAGTTATAACGCTAACTTTTCACTAGCTAATCCCAAGTATAACGTTATGAGCCCACCCAACTGCTACCGGTTATTGGTGTAACTGCTTTACCGACAACTTACTTTTCAGGTTACAACAAAACTTTATAAATCAGTAACATAGATAGTTGGTTACACATTTACCGCATAATAATATAACGAAAACTCAATGGGTTCGGTAAATACCGAAACATAATCAAATAACTTTCAATTCGGTACAGTTCATAACTAACGTATAACGCTAATGCGTTAAGTTACGGACCCCTGGATAAGAGCCAATCTGTCTGCCCTGTCACTAGACCCGGAGAAGGTGCAGCTCCACTACGTCACCGATGACGGGGCGGACATGGTGTCTTTTGGTCTCCATTTTGGCCGTAATAGGCAAGTGCAAAAAGATTGTGAAGTTCTGCAAGAAAAGTGGTGTAAACTCACTTCTGGAGAAGGAGGGAAGAGGGGTACTAATTCAGGACGTGGAGACAAGATGGATGTCCATTCTCACATTGCTGCAGTCCTTTTTTCCCAAACGTCTACCTCCCGCTGCCCCCGCTGCTCAGGAGAACGCCGATGCCAACAACAACGAGCCTCCTGAGAACGAGGAAGACGATGACGACTCTGGCGGTAGTAGTACCAGCTTGGACCGAAGCAAAATTGAAAGGGTAAGCGCAGCGCGTGAGATTATTTGTATTCAACAAAGTGTTCGCATCGCACCATGATAAAGACTAATTTTATTTTTATGATTTTCAGGTAAATGAGATCCTTTTGGAGAAGGACAAGGAGACGCTCATACTGAGCGACGACGACGTGGACGCCATGGTATCCCTGGTCAAACTTTTGAAGCCGTTCAATGTCGCCATCAAGAAGTTTGAGCGCGAAAAGGAGCCGACAATACAACACGTCTATCCCCAGTACCTTGTTCTGAAGAGGAAGGTTGAGCCAAATATCGAAGATCCCGCTGCAATTAGAAAGCTAAAGGAAAACCTGTCGAGGCAGTTGAAGGACAAGTTTTTGCCTAATATTGGTGAACGCCACAAAATTGGCGCTTTCCTATGGCCCAAGTCTGTGCAGCTAGCGTTTCTGCCGGAGGAGGACAGGGAAAAGGTATGGCCCGTATGTGCTGCAACTAAAAACTAACCGTATATTATGTATAAAATTACACGACGTAATATTTTTTGCAGGTGAAAGCGAGGGTGCGCGAGCTGTGCGTCGAGCAGGAGGCGGTGATGCGCCGGCGCGGTCCCATTCCAGGCACTGACGCCCCCGCCCCACCCCCAGCAAAGCGGCGCCGTCGGCGGTGCTCATCGGACGACGACGACGAGTACGAGTCGGTCCTCGGAGGCACGCAGAGCAGCATTGCCGACGAGGTCGACTTGTACGTCGTCCTGGCGACGTGCTCCCCGACTGTGCGGTCCAAGGACCTCCTCAAGTGGTGGAAAGAAAAGGTCAGTTATCTTCATTTGGGACAGAAAATAACTAACACTTGTAACACACGTTGGATCTTAAAGTAACGCATACGTTTTACATTTCAGAGTTCTGACTTGCCCGTGCTCAGCCGCGTAGCCCGCATGATTCTTGCTACACCCGCCTCCAGCTCAGCAAGCGAGCGTAATTTTAGCGTTGCGGGGCGGCTCATCACCCCTAGAAGGAATTGTCTGGCGGCCGACACCGTCGATGTTCTGTTGTTTTTGTGCAATTACTTCAAAAAACGTTCTCAGTACAAAAGTGCAGTTAGGGGTCG